ACCCCTAACAGGAGGGGACTACAGTATTCTGGATGTGGTAAAATGAAAGACTTGAATGCTGGCATAACGTCCATAGGTACAAAGCGATTAATTCTACTAAGTGCACCGGTCTTTGCATACGCCTTTATTAGCTGACTAGCAATATGCTCTATAAAGTTTAACATGCTATCAAGTTCCACGCCCAAGATTCTAATAGAGGGAAGTTTAGTAACGCCAGAACCATTCAAAGTTAAGTCAAAATCGCACTTGCAAGGACCGATCGGAAGGGCTTGCGTCTTATGGTTCTGCAGAAAGGGGTGAAATTCTGTTGTGGCATTGTTTATCAACAAATAGTTTGCATCGAACCACTCCGACAGGCGGCTGAGACTCTGGTTCACAACAAATTGCAGGGCAATGGGCGAGACATCTGATGTAGACAGAGTCGTGTCATCAGCGTATAATCTCAAAGAAACGTCCGGGACCGCGTAATTCAATTCATTAATGAATATATTAAACAACGGTGGCCCGAGGAGGGACCCCTGTGGATAACCCGTCTGCCACGGATATTCCGTGTGAAAATGGCCAATGGGATTTTAGTATGAATAAAATGGCAGCGTACCCTGTTAAAGTCCCAAGAGTGGTCAACAACAATTTTGTCCTATGAGTATCACCACAAAATCAAAAGGAAAGGTTATCAGAATTAATAAAATGATCAACTACAAAAAAAAAGCTTTGATCTTTTATTAAATTCTACCACTATTTCTTTAAGACTGTTAGTACGGAGATCAGTTGAGATCGGGGCTATTTTAATGTCCTTAGCGTTGGAGCCAAGGTAACTATGGATTTTGCCGTACGTCGAGGTGAGACAGTTATCATCTAAAAAAAGGGTTAATTAAATGTGAAAAAAAATAATTACACGTAAATTCGATTATGGTTGAGTAAACCCCATTGTGTAAGAAAATTACAGTGTAGAGGTCTTCTACAGAACCATTGTGTAAGTTTGGAGAAGGCGGGCGTACATCTTCAAGTGTCCGTTTTTAATTCGGCTTGGAATTCAAGGCATATGAAGGACCCATTTTAGTATCCAATAACAGTGGCCTATATTCCTGTAGGTAATGTTTTTCGCTTAAGTGAAGTTTGGGAAACTAATGCGTAATGAAGTCAGTTGCTTTTTACAAAGAAAAAGCCTAGAAGAGTCTAATGAGGACATGTCAGTCTCGGCCTGAATCGATCAGCACCCGACTCTACTGTTTGAAGGGAATCGGTTACGTTTTGATAATAATTATGTATGCATTTTAAAACACATAAAGGTTAACAAATTTAAATTTAAAAGTGGAACTGGCCACTATGACACTATTCTGTCCAGTAGGGAAACACAAATCCCAAAACTTCTTTCGGACGAAAAACGCATTTTCTAGCACCCCTAGAGGCTGGCCCTTCGATGCTCAACGGTCCTATGAGAAAATAGGTGTGATTTTCGTTGGATCAGGAGATTGTCGACAAGCCGGTTGATGTCTTCATTATCAGGAGATGTTTCCGTAGAGACGAACCCTTTCGAGGGTTAATCAGAGGAAAAAAACAGTATTTTCCCCAGTTCACGTTTGTTGTAAAAAAAAACATTTTGTGCCTGGTTTGAACGAGTTGTGGTCTCTGTTGAGAATTGAGAATTTGAGATCATGGTCGACAAATCACCTAAATTGAGTCACTCGTTCAGTAGGGTGGCTAGCTCTTGCTAGAAAAAAAATTTGAGTGAAATGTAACACGTCCGGCGGCGGCAAGGTTTGGCGATTACCAAATGATTAATTAAAAGGCAATTATTATTTTTGTTACAAATTATTGATGATGATCTCGATGATTTTGTCACTGCGAAAACATGCTTGTAACAGATACTTGTAGTCGTTTAGGAAATTCATCGTTATTAACCTGATGTCGTTTTCAAGCGTAATATTCAGTACCCTTGTCCATAACAAGTCATGGCTGATCCCTTTTTTCTGCAGTTCGCATATTTAAAGACAAGTATTTGTTTCCGTTCTTAAGTTTGCGGCAGCATCCCCAATATTGAGTAAGGCATTATTCTAGCGTTGTTATCAGCTTGAGCACTATTAACCTTAATATGGTCAAAACACAGTTAGACACGTAAACTTGGGTCAATATTTTCCTAGTCGAATTTGAAACAGAAGATTATTATAAACAACATGCTCCTTACCGACAGCAGTTGGCGCTTACGAAATTTCATTTATTTAAATACCAATTATTATAATGCCTCGATTTAAAATATGTAATAATGTCACCGTAATTACTGTTCTTATTGTTATTATCATAATTATAATTATAATTATTATTATTATTATTATTGTTGTTATTGTTGTTGTTGTCAGTGTATAAATCAAAATGTATAGTTAAAAAAATTAGGAATAAAAGCATTGATTTATTCGTTCCTTCTTTCATTCATTCAGGGTGGTTTTGTGTTTTTTCTCAGGAGGTTTTGGTATAGGTCAATATTAATGATTTTGCAATTCACTTTGAGGACAGAAAGTAGACATCTAACAAAGCATATAAACTTGAAGGAATTGAGCATAATTGATGGTTTGATGAATGTGCCACTGAAAAAGAGGTGAAGTATTGAGAGCTATTGAGGTCCTTGATAAAAAATAATGTCATCCATGTGGCGCCAACATTATGGTCGGCAGGGGAAACGTGTTGAAGAATCTGTTTCGAACTTTTCTAGGGTATAATTGGTATATAAATGACCCATTCTCGGAGTGGCAGTCAGGAGAAAAAAAACAGGGAGCCCAGGGCTACCCTCAGCTATTTATTTATTTTGGTTAAAAGGAGAAAAATCTGCGCTCAAGGAGAACGAAAATTTGATTGGTATCTTTTTCAATGTTTTGGTCACGAAACATGTATTCAACGGATATATGTGCTCGTTTTAAAAAGCATTTTAATATCACGATCAAGAGTTCTATAGAACTTTCTGTCGTTGAGTTATCTTTGGCATCCGCTAATGTTACCACTATTCCTTAACAGCTGTGGGAGATCCTTTGTCCGTATGTTTCCGTTTTGTCGTTTGCGGCAGCGTCCGCAAACACAATAAGGGGAAGAAATACTCGAGGGAAAAAATATAATATTAAGATACACGCTAGCAAAATGTTGCCTATTTAAGCGATAAAAGCTAAGAAAAAACTCAGTTACCTTGCCAAGACTCCTTTTTCTCTTTTTCTACACCACGTCATATAAACTGGACTCAAATCAGAGCTGGTTTCAATGAATTTAGCTGACGCACGCGACTTCTCTAGAACTTTCATGATTACACCCCCTCACCGCCAGTCCCATGTCAATCTGTCTCTTAGCTAAAGGGTACTTGATCTCCCTTGGTCCTTGATGAGAGCCTGTACTTCACAATTTCCTAGACTAGGTGGAACATGACATACTCGACTTTAAACAAAAACGTGTACTGTAGCACAGCGTAACTACAAGCGAACGACACACTTTTAAAATACTACTTAGAGCTAGGTAGGAAAGGCCTTTATGCCGTCTTAATAATAATAATAATAATAATAATAATAAATGTCTTTATTACAAAACAAACATTACATAACAAACGTTACAGAGAGAGTGAAGTATACAAATCTTGTCAGAAGACGTGACGACATTTTCAAATGGGCGGGAAAGTATCAGCCGCAGTCGGTATGGACAATGATAAGCACATCATGAATGGATGCCATATACAACCCAACGATTTTTAGAGCGTTTCACTGACATCAATTTTACTGTTGACATCCAGCGACAAGGGCAGACTTTGTTTAAACCGCGTTTCGTGACAAAATCAATCCCAAATCAATCCCAAACGTTTTCTGAATGACTAAATGAATGGAATGTCGTGGATGAAAGGAATACAGACGTGCCCTCTTTACATTATAAATTGAGACGGTATCCCTCAGGAAATTGAATAAAATTAATTTTCAGTGGACAAAAACCTTGTACCACAATGTTTTATGCCATATCGAATTCTTTTGTTATACTTTTCGGGGCCTATAGAAGTAATTAGCTTATCTGCATAACACAGGTAAAAACGTCATGTGTAAGATTTCATTTAGTGAAATATATTTTAAAGCTTTAGAAGTTTGTTTTCGCGAGCTCCCACGTCATGGGTAAGATTTCATTTAGTGAAATGTACTTTCTTTTGAAGTTTGTTTTCTCGAGCTCTCATAAGAACCTTTTCTTTGGAGTTATTTCATATAGAACTTAGTACATTTATACCCCTTGAAAAGTGTGAAAAAAGGAATGTAATGTGCTTGAATTATCTGGTACAAGGTTTTTGCTCACTGAAAATTAAAATTACTCAATTTCCTAACGGATTTCGTCTTAACATGTTAATAGTATAGAAGCTCGGACGTCAGCATATAAAGGGCGCCGGCACCAGCACTGGCAGCCGCTATCGCATATCAGTCCATTTATGAGCTTACTGTGACCTATTCAGCTTATGATATGAATGATGTGCGAAATAAGGTTGACCACACCATCGGGAAACTTCTACTTTTTTCGATCAGTAGTAGTGTGGGTTCTTTTGCGTCCCCTTGGAGATTTGGCCAATGAAAGAACGGTGAAGGAGACATGGCCAAAAGCTTAGCAATTGTCGTGACGTCACCTGTGGAATTTTCGAAAGGATAAAAATCGTGCCAAACAGATATGAAAAGTCCTTTAAAATGGCATAACCAATCAGAAAAAAAAAAAAAGAAAAAACGGACTTTTAGAAAGTCTACCCATTCTGTCGCTAAGCTACTGTTATATAGTCCCAAGACTTCGGGGATCGAGAAAAATTTGTTAACAAAGAAATTTAACTCTTACCCTTGAAGAACTTCAGTTATTTTTATTAACACACATTGGGTTATAAAAAGGACGCGATTTTAAACAATTTTAAAACTTAGTATAACTAAATATACTATGAGTAAAAGGGTCACACAAGTTTAAATGGACGGAAGATACACGGACCCGAATGGCTGCATCGTTAGGACATATTTTTACATGGGCGAAACACGATTTAGTTTCCTCCAGGGCAAGCGAGCTAAAACATGAACTATAGTTTTAAAGCGATGTCCCAACAGAGCTAGAAACTGTAAAACAAATATCAATCCATAAATAGTTAGAAAAGCAAGACCTATAATGTCTACACCCAGCACTTTTAGGTCTTTATGCCTGACCAAACTGAGAATGATTATTATCCACAAGGCATTGATAACACCAAATGTCATCAGCGTCTTATTTCGTAGCTCTATAAGTTTCTCTTTCAGCTTGGATGTCTGATCGAAAGCACTGAGTTCCGGAGAAAGACACTTCTGACGGAGGCCTTCCCAGAATTCATACTCAGCATCTAAGTTGTGGATATCCAGCAATTTTAATGAAAGACAATCGAGCTTGCGCTGGGTATTACGGATTTTCATTTGCCCTAAAAATAAAAAGGAAGAAAGTTAAATTACAGTCAAACCTGGCAAATCTTTGAGAAATAGTCACCTGAACATTCAAACGCTTTTAACTATTTAAAAATGGTCTAAGAAGTATACCAGGCAAAGAAGCGTCCCGACTAGAAGAGGAATTAACCTCAGCCCTCGGATGTAAATGGGGTTGGATGCTATCCCCAATGAAATTCTCTAGTAATCGATTTCGGGCCAGAAGCGTTTTCCTATAGTAGGTGTTCATTTATTCCCTATTTATAGTTACGAGAGATAACGTCATAAGTGAAGTGACTGCAGAGGTCGAAGCGTTTTAGAGCAAAAATTGAGTACACTAACCACTGCTTCCTATGTCATTATCAGGGTTTTGGATCGCTTGTTTTCTCACTCGTATGAAATGCTGCATGCACCTTAATGCTTTATTTCTTTTTTCCCTAAAATGCTCGGTCTTTTCCAAAAAGTCACAAAAACGCTCGGATAATATGCTTATTATAAGCTTTTTGTTTTGTTTTCTATTCCTTTTTCGGGATTCTTCTGAGGTTAAGAGAGATTTTTGGCCTAGTTGAGCTAGCCCATATCAAGTAAAATAAAGGAAATTTATTTCTGAAAGAAATAAATGGTTTTATGCTTAATGTGACTGATTAATGTGTCATTTCTCCAGTTACTGGGGAGGGGGCGTTCCTGTCATCCGGGACATTATATATTGTGTTTTTAAGACATGAAAGCGAGGCACATGGCCTCTCTGCTCACGGCAACATGAAAGTTGGAAAACATTTTTCCCTCCCAAATCCCCTTTATGGCGGACTGTTTTCTTTTATGAAACTTCAAACGTTTTTAAACTTTAATTTAAAATGAACTTTTAAAATATGTACAATCAAATATGAAATGTTAAGATCCTAAAAATTAAAATTCAACTAAATAATAAATAAAACATTTATCAATAAGTCTAATCTAGTGAAACCTTAAAAGCCAATGGCTAATCTTAATAGATTGTCTTAATCAAGAGCCTCTTGTCTAAATTTATCTCATCGATATGTCTTTCTGAAAGGGAACATTTTCAGGGCTTTTTAAATCTTCTTACGGAGTCACACTCCCTCAGCTCTAATATAAGGACTCTCCAAAGCTGAGGGGTGCATATACTATTAATATATAACAATTATTCACCGAAGTGGAGGTGGCTAGTCCTGGATATTTACCGAACTGCGAAGCAGTGAGGTAAATATCCACGACTAGCCACCGACACTGAGGTGAATAATTGTTTTAGTATATACTAAAACCGTGAGATAATTGAGCTCAAAAATGACGATTTTTAACTCAAATACTGTTGCCAACGATTACAATTTTGGCGCCTAATGACCGGGCGGCTGCGGCCGTCGCTTTTTCTTGCCGACAATTAAAACTTTTGAAGGCATTTGTTTAGCTCTTGCGGGGAAATTTCTTCAAAAAGAGTTGTGAATTCTTTTTGTATTTAAAATCATTCTATAAAAAAAGATTATTAAATTCAGTTTTAAGCTTATTTATGAACAACTCAACTAAATAAAGTAGGCAAGATTTAAACTTAATTTGCATTTGTAAACAAAAACTTTTTCACCGGTTTTATCGATAAATTCGTGTCGAAAAGACAAAGCTTTACCTGTTAAAACTTCTAATCCGAACTTCGTCACCGTCTTCGTGTATTTCGGAAACAGCTTGCTTGATTAGTTGTGAAATTTCTTTGTTTGTTTACGGCAGCAAACCGGGAAGGCATTTTGCTCGCAACTTACGCGAGTTTGGCGTTGCTCGCTCGGAGGAACTGGAGGTGAATCAGTGAATAGTGCAGGATATTCACTGATTGAGTAGCCAATCAGAGCGCGCGAAAAACACTATCCACTGTTTTAGTATATACTAAATAGATTTAGCCCGAGCTAAAAAGCGATATTCAATGGACTTGAAACCATGATTGCAAAGAAATCCAAAAATATCTATAATTAACTTTAGGGGACTACCATATGACTGAAAACATAAACTTGAACCTGCGATCAATTAAAAGCTAACAACGGGTGCGCGGAAAACTTAAAAATACACGTGACCTATATGAGTTAGTACATGAGCCCGCGATACGGTTATGTGACTCTGGTCAGCGGATACCCTCTTTTGAAAGCTGTCAATTGACCATGATATGGATGTCTATTATCAACTTAAACACAGGTTACAGGTTACGACACTAACTAGAATGTTTGACATTTCACATTGGTTCCTCTGTGGTGCGGACGAAAGGGCGTATGGTCACGTGATTACCAAAATTGTTTCGGATGGATAGATTACCAAATTTTCTTAGATATGGGGCTCTGCTCGCACGCGCTTCGCGCACGCGTGCAGCTTCGCTATTAATTCACCTTCGTCAGGATTTTGTAGTTTTTTAATCCCAAGAACCAGTCTGTCCAAGTGACCTCGTTTCCGAATGTCAAATAGTTCCTTAAGACTTCCTTTGTCCATCCCTTTCAAATCTACCAAGTCACGAGGCTCCTTGTACCCATTTGATTCAAATTGGCTCCAATAATCTTGAAGACCAAGCTCTCCTAACCAATCTTTAACATTTTCCTGTTTAACAAAAGAATACCGTATTGAGGGACATTCGATTTACAGTGTGCAATACGGTCAGAGAAAAAAATGACGCGCCTTTCCATCAAAATTTTTGATTTCTTAGATAACTTACTGGGATGCCTTCCTCCATATCCACTCGTGGGATTTTCTTTATCTCTCTCAGAAGCCATTGGCGATGTCCCCTTGTCTTAATGCCAATTCTCTCGAGTTCCTACCAATAAAATGTTTATATAATTAAAAATAATTAAATGCTATTCAATACAATCTAGCAGCAATATGCACCATTGTTTGACTAGACACCAAGAGAAAAGGCTGAACAGAAGGCAACTGAAACCGACAGACATTCAAAGCTCAGCCTCTTAATTTATTGTTAACAACTTACCTGGTCTGATAATCCACACAAATGCCCTACGGTGTCGTATCCGTGGTTGCGAAATATCTTGGCACAATCAGACTGCAATCAGGCAAAAACAATAGATTACCATAGTTACGCAGAATGGTGGAAGAGGCATCAAATGTAAATTAGCGAAAGTGTCCACAAAATAGACTTTCACTTGAATATAAGGCAGCGCACGTTGAGGAGAAACTACTGATTTTTTTGGAAGAGAGCAATAGTTTCTACTGTCTGTTAAGAGAACAGAGAGAATAATGTAGTAAAGGTCTTTTTTTAAATTACTTTGTAATATAATGTCGTGGATTAGAGGACAATAAGACGCACCCTCTTTACATTGTATACTACTGTAGTTATAGCTGTTCCTTGGGGCCGACGAGCGAAAGATCTTACCAATTCGCGCGCGCTGTTCAATTTGTTTAGAAATGTCATGAAATCACCACAGCGGACCACGAGGACGCACGGACGACTTGAAAACACCACCAGGACGGATGGCTTTGCCTGTGTTGTGACCGAAAGCTTGAGGTTAAAAGCTGCGCACGTAATGATGGAATAATAGATAAAGCACCAAAAACGTACCTTTTGCTCACCTTTCGTCGATAAAAAACACCACGAGGATGGACAGAGGGTTGACGAAAGGCTTCAAATGACAGGTGGATTCATTTGCAACTTACGCGTCATTAAAATTACGTCGAAAGAAAGAATCGGCTTTGTTGTTGTTGCTTTTTCTCTAAAAATACGGGTGGCTATGCGATTTACCGCCAAAACGCCCGGGTAGTTGAAATGCAAAATTTCAATCGGGCTTACATGAGGGGGGAGCGTGCGTACGTACTCCGTACGGACGATTTTGTCAGAACCAAAACTTCTCGGATGCATAGATAACCAAATTTTCTTACCTATGGTGCTCCTCTGTGCGCGCTTCGCGCGCGAGAGAGCTCGGCTATTAACAGTAAGCTTAGACGTCAGCATACAAAACTTGCGAGAAAGGGCGCCACTGGAAGCCACTATCAGTCCATTCAGTATGGGCTTAATGTAACCCACCCATAGCCCATGATATGAATGATATGTGATGCGTAAAAGGTAGACCGCACCACCGGGAAAAGTTTGATCCCATACTCTTTCGGAAAAGTAGTGTCGGTTCTTTTACGTCCCCTTCGTTTTAATTAATGAAAGAAGGATGATGAAGACAAGTCCAACGGTTTAACGTCACAGCCCAATGACGCAATCATCTTCAATTAACCGAGACAAGGCCTCAATTTATCACAGCCAGCATGATGGATTTTTACTGAAAGAAATTGAAACCTTCTGACAGATTTTGTATCAGTTCATTCGCTCCTAGAAAGTTTAAAGATGACGTATTTCAAATACCTGTAGTGAAAAATCCAGCTGATTTAACCAGACCTCTACTGGTGTGTTGAGATTCGAGTAGGACATTTCGCCTCCGAGCCTTGACTGGGGACGAGATTCTCCGTCTTTGAAATTAAATGTAACTAGAAAGAAAAAATAAATAATATTAATAATAAATAAATTTCAGGTATAAAAACTTTTCAGCTCTAATTTTTAAGCACAGGAGATCATTTGGCTGCAGCTTCCCCAATGCTAAAAATACAATTGCTGTACATGCACATTATGACTAATTTTGCTCCAGAAAGCGCAAACCCTTCTCCCTGTGAGCGCGAAGGAGTACGGTGGGGAGTGCTGTCTTTTCTTCTCGTTCCAGTTCCTAGCAGCACATAAGAGAGTTCTGCGGAGGATGGAGACTCAAATGTATAAGCTTGTAATAACCAAAGGTTAAGGAGTGCAGGTGAGTTTTTATTTTTATTTTTTATTTTTTTATTATTACTAAGAGTTTCTTATCGAAGGTCAAAACGCTCTTGCTCTAATGCTGTGCTCTGCGTATATTTCACTGATAGAAAGTAAAAACGTCCGTGAACAGATAACAAGTGATAGAAAGTCCAAATGCGCCAAATAACCAGATGGTGTTTTGCGTATTTCATTTAGTTTTAGTGGAAGTCCAAACGAATGCTGGCTACGTTCGTGCCAGAAAGAGTAATAGTAACCTGGATAACAGGATTGCGGGCTCCTCTAGTTGCCCGCAATTTCCAGGTTTTTCGTTTTCGTTTTTTTTTTTAGAAGAGACGCAAAAATCATGAAAGATATAAAAGAGATGTAGGGAGGGCATGATCACAGGCTTATAATAATATAAATGACATGATTCTAAGAAGCATCTTACCAGGTAACTGAAGACGGCATGATCCATCTGGCTCATTGCGATCTAAATCAGGCTTTAAATCTTGTTCTTGTTGATTATCACCAGTGTTTTCTGAAATTTTTGGGGGACACTCATGTTTTCCTTTAAAATCTGGTCGTTCCATTAAATCAGTACATGAACACTCAACAGATTTATTTATCTCTTTTCCATGATGTCTTGAAAAACTGCTTGGCCTGGGTTCAGAGGTACCTCTTTGAACCTTATTTTGTACAAGCATCGAGCTCTCAGAGCTATCGTGGGGATCAGAAATTGATTCACCTCTTAAAGCAACCTTGCCATCTGCTGTTTTCCCTCGGGTCAACGAATGTTTTTCATTTGAAGCATCAGAAAGGAATTCAACATTGTTTGTTATTTCAGATTCGCCTTTTCTCTCTGTTGGTCTCATCGATTTTACCTTTTTTGGAATTTCTGCCGCTGAGTACATAGTAAGAACTGGAAGTTTGTTCTCAGCTTCAGTCTTCTTTGAAGGTTTCTTACCAGACCTTCTTCTGTTTAAATTTTGATTTTGAACGTCAGCCGAAGACCTTACACCATCCTTGTCATTCATTGTACTTGAAACTTTTCCTTCCGCACCAAAAGTCATTCCTTTTCCATGACATGTTTGACCTGATGGCTGCTCGGACAGCTAGAGTATTTGATTAAATGAAAATCTCTTAATAAGAAACCATTCCTTTTCAAATCGTTACTGCAAAAAAAGGCTCGATGAAAATATGTAAAGAACATTACTGAGTGATAAATGAGGTTACGTTTTGAACAAAACAAATCTGACCTCTTGACATTTTGTATAATTCCTGCAAATAAGAAGCCAACAACTTACATCGTTTCTCTCTGTGGGTTATGCCTGGTTGGCGAACAAGCTTGTCTGTAGTTATATAACAAGAATCCTTGATTTCCCAGATATAATGATATAGGACATTAGGATATAGGACCGTTCTACCCGGTAGCCAAGCCCGGTAGCCTCCGGCTTAAGAGGAAATCAACCCGTATTAATCAGGGCTGGTTACAGATAGTTTTTCCCTACCCTACAGAAACGGTGTATCTTAAGATCTCCTTTGTAAACGTTAATTAGCTAGTCTTCTACCTCACTTTGCGAATTGTTATTGATGTTAACTTGACAAGCCACGTCTATCATGTCCCCTCTCCTTGCCACCACGGGCTGCATGGGAGGTTGTTGAAGCTGGTTTGACTGTCCCGGGTTTCCGCAGCATTGACAACAACTGACAATTTCCCTCAAGCTTTCCCCAACGGACGTATACCAGTCACCCCCTTCTGAGGCTGACTTTCCTTCCCTTGTTCCTTTAGGGAAAAAATAAAATAAGGTATTGAATATGATATGGTTCAAAACAAGACTTTAAGCACACATAAGATTCTAACAATTAAATATATTTGTCCTATTAAGTTAACAAATTTTGATACGGTTGTTTAATCTGGAAAGCCGATTCAAACTGAAAGAGCAAAAACCAGCGTCAATTAATGAGACCCTGGATCAAAACCGGCTATCGACAACGGAGAACAAGACAAAAGATTTTATTTTCTGATGCAATTTCGCCTGTGTTCAGTTTGATATAAAATGGATAAGCAAAGTCGTTAATCTCTACCTTAAACGTCTTAGTCATCCTCACTGTTTTCTAACTCAGCCATACTAACATTTTAAAATCATGAAGCATAAATTAAGACATAACAAATGGCTTTTGGTGATTAATTCAGTATGGTTCTCGTTTTTTGCTTTCCAGACTGGAAAAATTAGTTTGCGATTCTTTGCCATCAGCTCTATTCAGGAAAAAATGGTTTAAGGGGGGATAGTTATGGCGAAGAAGACGAAAGAATTTAGCTCCTTGAATGCTTTTAAAACCTCTCCATGTTAGTGAAACATTTAGACCTGGAATGGCACCAAAAGTGTTAGAGAGAATGCCGGGTGGTCACTTGTTCTTAATTATAAACGGTATCATTTTTACGAGGTTCCCCAATAGAGTTCTTCAATCCCGCCATCCCGACCTAAAAAGGGAGCTTTAAGCGACCACGACGACAACAGCATCGAAAACGTCACTTGGAAAGCGAGTTCACGCTGTTTCAAACTTTGTCACTCTTGCTCCTGCATTTATGCAATTGTTTAATGTTGGAGAGTTCTTCTGGAGTTGATTCTAAAGGACTGTATCTAACTTCAGAAAATGGAAAAGAAAGTCACGGTTGTCTTGTGTTCACGTCGTCCATAAAACGTGAAACTGGAAGGTTTCACGTCGTAGTCGTGCAACGAGGGCAAATTGTACAAAATAGCGTGATGCTGGTGTAAAAGTTGTTGTTTCGATAATCTAAACCAATGGCTTTTTTGCCGTTCTTGTTACCGTCGCCGTCTTCGTTTCTTAAGCTCCCTAATGTTTATTCGGCATCCCGCATCCCCTGCGTACTTCCAACCCCTAATAGCAGGCCCGAATCCCGAATCCCGAATCCCAGCTTACAAATAAGGCAAATCCCGTTTTCCGAAAAACCTATTGAAGACCCTTCTTTTACAGTTTGAAAGCCCTAAATTCTGATCTGTACTTCAAGCCTACCCCAAGATCTATCCGTTAGATTGCACAGGGAATAAATTGTTAGAAGCAGATATCCAGAGGGCAAACAAAGGAGATACCAAACACCGTGCAACAGACACGTTAACTCCTTAGGATGCAACAGGGCTGCAGCAATAAAGATCCCGGATAATCCAGCCAAGTATAACGTGCTAACTCCGGCGGGAAGGTGATGTTCCAGAGGTTTCTGTGCATAAGCGGAAGTTGTATTCGCTTGAGCTGTTGGCGCCGCTGTTGGTTCGGTGTTCCTTTCCTGTAACTCGTTTGAGACTTGAACAGCTACACCGACAGTAACAATACACATGATTACAGCAAAAACGAAAGTGAGTAGCTTGGAAACCTTCAGCTGGAAATTTGGCGAGGTGAAGAGACACACTAAGGCGTAACCAAACACCACCAGAGAGAGAAGGACAACTATGGTTATTTCATTCAAGCCAATGCCCGAATACAGCATTCCACCAACTATGACCAAAATCACCGTAGAAGGTCTGGAATAGTAAGAAAATTGACAAAAATGCTAAATCCCATCACTGACATCATAAGACAAAACACTGCAGTATTGCTGACCAACCTAGCCTGCACCACAGACGAAACTACACTCTGGTTCAGTACGTCTGCGAAACAGAGCCCAAATCCTTGTTCCGGACCTCTACCTGTTTACCAGGATTTGAAAACGAGCTATGATTGACCTGTTAAAAAAGCCATTATCGATTTGCCAATCAGTATGAAAGGAGATTCGAAACGCACATCTGGCAATTCGTCGAGTCTGTTGCGGGCACAGACCGGGGGGTAGGGTACTTGGGGTTAATTTTTGCTGGGTATGCGCCACTGGCCTCTCGAGCCCCTACCCCATTATAGTCTATTCTGTGGCCAATTATAGACCCCATCTTAGTCTTTTTGGGCAAATATGTAATTTTCGTGATCCCAACTTAGTCACTTTCTATTTATGTATCTACCTTATCAGTCTTTTAAAAAAGTCATCCGAAAATGAATTGACCCATTTTTCACCTAAAATAAAAACATCTGCTAAGTTTGTTAACCGTAGATTTAAAAAAACTTTTTAACTCAAAAAATCCGGAAATGTGCGACCCCATTCTAGTAACTCTGTTGAAAGTGCGACCTCATTATAGTCAATCCAGTCGTGAAAATGCGACCCCATCCAGCAGCACATCCCTATTAGCCTCTTGTAAGGAAGTACCCCGCTCCCGGGCTTCGCAGACGTTACTAACCGATGTTAAATTACGTCTGAGCGCAGGCTATCACCAACCAGGCTGCGAGCAACAATGTAGACATATAACGACCTTTTTTGACATCCTGTATCCTGCCTTTGAAATCAAAATAAAGCGAAGCGAAGCCCAAATTTGTGGTTGAAAATTTTTACTTACCCGATAACAGTGGAACAAACAAGAAACGTTTGGTAGACGATGAAAACGAACGAGATGTGTTCGTTCCGTCTCAGTGTCAGCTTCCACTCCTTCACAAGTAGAATAAGGTTGGCCAATGTCGATGGAGTCCATCTACGCCTTTGCTTGTAAAACTCATCGAAGCTTTCAGGGCAGTACGTGCTGTCAACTGCGGCAGCGCAGTATGTCAATCGCCAGCCTCGCTGTAACATTAGGGTGCACATCCAGCGGTCTTCCCCTTAAAAAAAACGATACGGTACCTTTTGTGTTCGTAAGCAGTGTTTTTTAGGGATTAAAAATAGCTATTAAAATTGTTCAAAAGTTCTGTTATTGTAACTATCAACCAGGCTTCAAAAGCATGCATCCAGGGTATAAAACCAAAAGGCTTAACCATGTACCAATCAATCAATCAATCAATCATTTATTTTAACACGTTACGTCAAAGAGCGAAAAAAACTCGTTCAAAATACGAACGTGTATAAATAAAATCCATAATAATTACAGCTATATAATATTATTCATTTTTCAAAACAACTCAGTAAACACACACTCATTAACCTGACTCTCTCCCTGTAAAGAACTAAGCGTCACTCATTTAACTTTGTTTTAGTACGCAACATTGACAACGCAATGTAACGAACTTTGTAAGATCGCGCGCGCTTTAAATTCAACGGCGATTTCAAAATATGTAACACTGAAGATGACGGATGTACCGTCGAAACATGTCTGGAAAATTAAAGAAAGTTGTTATGTTTATACGACTATCTATATTGTTGCTGCTATCTAGACCTTTTTAACTCTGTAAATGTATACATATAAAAAACTTGGTAATAAAAACATAAAATAGAAAAAGCTAAAACCGACCAAAAAGCCACATGTGACTCCGGGAATACTCGTTCTAAAAACAGGTAAAAGCTACAGTCGTGCACTATAAGACACGTTCTAAAAAGCTGCAATCGTACAATTTACTTCTGAAGACATTAGCATCACTTGAAAGACGCACTTGAGAAGGCAAACTGTTCCATAACTTAGTTAATGAGTAAGTGAAAGAATTCTTCTTAAATTTAAGATTAAAGTTAGGTACCACAATACTGCTCACCTACACCTTTGGCTAATTGTATGTATTGGTTAATTTATTGGTCAAACTTGGCAAGTTTTGTCAACCAATTTGCTTGCCAAAGTGGCCATCAAATACTTATGGGCCCTTTAATTCCGTTAAGTTTTATAATAACGGCCCGGCTACACTGGTGTTTAAAATCATACAAATGTTGTGAAACTTGAGGTAAAACTCTTCCTGTTTGACCAGTCCTGTTTAATGACATTTTTTCGCTTTTTAACTAGTATCAACTTCCAAGTTCAAGAAACGATAAATGGCCATTAAGAACATTCATTTATTATAGTCTGCGTCCTCGACTCTAGAGAACACTTTTTGGGAAATTTTACTGAGATAGATAATATGTAATTCAGCTATAGAACAAATATACCTTGTTAACCTACCCATATCTTTGGTGAGAAATTCAAAAGCATGGTTTACTTTTGTAGCGTATGTCGGTAACACATCCCTAACAGCTTGGCAACGGTACAGGCTAAAACAACCAGGGCTACACAGCACGGAACCAAACATGTGATTTGCTACCTGCAATGCAATACATCATCCACACTTCTCTTTAAAAGTGTGCGCGAATTATTACCGTAAATGTTATACTGGTTCCAATTGCCCGGGGCGATATTTTATATTAGGAGCTCAGGCGGTGGCGCTTAATCAGGATAGGAGGCGTATAACAAGAGAGAGGCGTTCATAACTTTCGGCGAATATATCATCACGGTTTATAAATAACCACTCCATGCATTGATACGTGTAAGCCAATTAGAGATCCGTATCACTTTTTAAAGCTGAACTTCGATTTCAGAATCCTTACTTTAAAAATTCGCAAACTCTTGTTAATGAAAGGAGAAACTGAACTAATTAAACTATTTAGCTTTACGTCGCATCTCTACACTCAAATAAGTACTGAATTTACACCTGGAAGAGACTACCAGTGCGTTACATTAAGACCAGAAAAAATGCAACTCAATCAGACTCTTTGGACTACCTTATAACTGAATTTCTCCTTATTCAGCCCCAGTCATCCAGTCCACTCGTCCACTTTGTCGAATTTGGGCGAATTGTCAGGGAGACAAATTACTAGGAATCATATCCAACTTCAGAAAGAGAAAGAAAATTACGTCGCCCGGTCTCTTTCTAAAACGAGAGATTGGGCAATTTTACGTCGTAGCCTTAATTGACGGCAAAGAAATGTCCAAAAACGTGCGATCGTGGTTTTTTGCTTATCGAAGCTATATTTCCTTTTTGACGTTTCTGTTGGCGTCGCCGTCGTCAGCCATTGCTTGATGCGAGTCGACAATTTTTTGCAATGAGAAACAGATTACTTTTGTGACATCTACCGACAGTGTAAAGGATATACAGACCTTTTGAAACCAATGACCAATGGCGTAGTCGAAGATCTGGTACCAGACTATAGGCCCGTTCCCCATGGGATGTGTTCGAGCACAAACTGCTCCAACCCCAGGATCTTCAATAATCTGGTCTATTAACGCCTCGACAGATTCATGGGTAAACTTAACGTCTGCGTCGGTTGTAAGGATAAAGGATTGGTCGCATTTCACTGAAATGTAATTAAAATTGCCCTTTTAAAAATCTCTCACGTACGCTATGATTAAATCACGGTCAAACGCATTCTTTGCCCCCAAAGATTTCTGTCCGTCTTAACCGGCGGGGTCAGGGCCTCTTCATATGAGCCCCGCGGCCTATGATACGTAATTTCTACACAATGTGATTACCCAATGCAGAAATTCTGCAGACCTTGATAATAAGTGATGAGGAAGGACTGCAGTCTACGGTAACCCGTGCCATAGAAACTCTGCAGCCTTTGATAACCTTTGCAACAGATATTATGCGACCCCTGGTTACCAATGAAAGAGAAATTCTGCGGCATCAGCATCAGATCAAGAGAGAACAGAATTTATACAGCATGAGATCAAGGAGAATGAGATCAGGGGCAGCAGAATTTCTAAGGCATGCGATCAAGGGGGCAGCAGAATTTCTAAGGCATGCGATCAAAGGTCTTGCAGAATTTCTGCAGCATGAGTTCAAGGGGTCTTGCAGAGTTTCTGCAGTACGAAGTCAAGGGGTCTTGTAGAATTTCTGCAGCACGACATCAAGGGTTCTTGCAGAATTTCTGCAGCGTGATATCAAGAGGGTAGCAGAATTTCTGCAGCATGACCCCCCGCATCAAGGGGTCTTACAGAATTTCTGCCGCATGAGATCAAGGGGGCAGAATTTGCTCTCACCACTAAGACGATTCTGTTGGTAATCCAACACATATGACATATACATCACTTGGCTCCAACGTTTCTTATTCCTCACCTGTAAAAGTCGATTATCACAGTTACTAATATTGCGTATGTAGGGTCGAATGGGTTGTTATGCCTGTTGTGGTGAAGGCTCAGTTGTTCTGGATTGAGAATGTGTTTGGTGAAAAAAAAAAATCACAAATTTTATCTTTTTTCTTCAAGCTAATTTCTCTTGCCGACTATCACGATCAGAATTACCAATGTCTGCGGTATAACTTCCAAAGGTTTCATTGCAATATGACTTCTCACTGAGAACTGTAAATGTGGCCAGTGAAATTTGATTTTAGTAGCATTAAGGATTCTTGGGACTCTTTGCCCCTCCTGTTGAAATCTCTAGATGTTTTCAGCAACATCCAAGGCTGTAAATCATTCAAATATTTTATGCTTTTCATTTTATATTTCCAAAATTTGTTAAGGGATTATTGTTGCTTTTAATGTTTCATTTCGTGTTTTAACTAGCGGCGTACCTCAGAAAGCTAGTTTCTTAAGTATTTCTGCCTGATCATTTAAAATAACAAAAGTCATGTGTTATTACTTTTAGTGAGCTTATATCTTAAACATAAACTCGGTGTTGGATGATTGAAGCACGGTGATCTTAAGGAATCAATATTGGTAAATTGCTGCTGCATCGCAGGCTTTACTTACTTTAGCATTGTCTTTTAAGTGAATCGTGAACTCCATTCCACCTGGCAGTCTCCATTTAAGCTGCATGCCATAGGGGGTCATTATTTTGCAGCAGTCACTTAGTTGTACTTTTAATGTATCTTCCACCAATGAAGCCAACTGTAACGCATAATCAGCGATAACCTGTCCTCTGACACCTCCATCAAACAAAATGTGTGACTCATAATGACGTTTAGTTTTCGCAGCGTTATTGTCAACATCATGAATCGATCCAAGGAGCTGTTCCATTTCATAGTCTTCTTCGCGGTACATCGTCGTGCATATGAATATATACTGTCGGTCGTCACCAGTGGGATTCTGTTGTGTATTTTGCCCATCATCAGATGCTTTGCTTCGTCTATTCAACAGCAGAAACTGTTCAAGGCAGACACCTATTCATAAACCAAGCAATGACTATTTACAAAGAGAAGTAAAGTTCGAAACTCCTTGGAAGCGACCACTCGAAGTGCGAAGATTCGTTGGTCGCTCACGGAAGGTGGTCGCTTACAAGAATCGACAAACAGGGGGTTCCTTCCGAGGCGAGGTCCCAACGCATAATTTTTAGAATATCACTTATTGCATGCAGTTCCTTTTTTTTTTTTTTTTAAACATTCTGGTGACAATACTACTTCATGATGAAATTTTTGTGGTATCTTAAATTTGTCACAACGCTTTTTTGCCGGCTTGGAAAAATACATTAAACGATGACTTAAAACTGTATATTCTCGTGACATATATAACCACTTTAAGTTTCCTAACTATGCCAAACGGGAGGCATGAACAGCACGGAAAGCTTCCTTTACCAATAGAACATACCATTGTAGGATGGGATCCAAAACAGGTCGTATGCGCTGGCTATGATCAATCCATGACTTTTCCACAAGTAGTACGTAGTGGTCATGAACTGTGCCAAACAAAGGAGGAACGCAGCAGCGATTGTTTTAACGTTAGCTAGGTTTTCTGTTGTGCATGGTAAAGGAACAGCGTTCGTCTCACAGAACACTTTAACGTTTGTTATTAAAAGGGTGATGGGCGTGGCTAGCGACAAGGGAAGAGCGTATCCAATCTTCTGCATACAGAGCGAACAGGCGAGCCAACCAAAATGGTAACCAAAGAAACTGGCAAAGATATGAAAGGCAAAATACAAAAGAGACGGATTTGATGTATCGATCGCTTTAAATCCTGCTGAAAATCGGTCGAGCTCTACAGTTTTATAAATTTTGGCGAACATGACAGCAACTAAAGGCGTTAGGAAAAGTTTCCATAAGGAGATGACAATGGCAGCTTTCCCACGGGCATTGTTGCATTGCCGCATTCTTGAATTCTCGTCATGGCTTTCGTTCGCGGAATTCTGTCCCTTGCTGATTTGTAGTTCCCGCAGTTCAGGAGACCAAGCGATGGACAAGGAAAAAAACACAACGCACGCAAAAGGTAACTGAAAGAATAAAGATTTGATACATGGTTTTATAATCTTCCAAGTGTAATTCTTGTTGCAAATGATATTTTCCAGTATTTTTAAGCATTGGTATAATATCATAATATTTGACGGTTCAATACCCCTACTCTTTTTCAAAAACAACATTTTACATAATGCTAGACGCGTGGTTAATTTGGTTGCCGTTTTCTTCTGAATAGAAGTCGAACTGTAGCAGAAGAAGAAGAAGAAGAAGAAGAAGAAGAAGAAGAAGAAGAAGAAGAAGCAACTACAGCAACTAAATGAACTATCCCAAACTATAGGAACTAAAGCAACTACACGAATTATACTAACTATACGAGTTACACCAAACTACAGCAGCTATAAAATAACACGAACAACAGCAATCTACAGTAACTATACACCAAACTACAGCATACGCCAATCTACAGGATATACTAATACGTAACTACTGTAGAGTACTAGAGTTTTAAGTGGGCATGAATTGTTTCTATATTCGTGACGGTTATCATGAATTCATTGCCGTTAATTTAGTTGCCGTTCTCTTCTGAATAGAAGTCACACTGTAGCAGCAGAAGAAGAAGAAGAAAAAGAAGAAAGCGAAAATAGCTGATATTGCATCTGTTCGATATGTGAGAGATTGGTGAGGTATGTCGACCTCTCTAAGTTCTGAAAGTGCGCCTTGAGTAACAAACTCAGACTATAATCGGGAAACGATAGTATACTTGAAATCTTGCTTACCTCATACATGAAGAACAATAATGAAGCACCAGCAGCAGCAAAAAACGCACCAATTCCAAACTTAAAGGTTTTCAACCTTCCCTTCGTTGTACTCCACTGTGATCTTGATTTAATAACCTGCCACACAGCTGAACACAGCGCTAGGCTGCACGGGAGAAGAATAATGGCGTCTGAGCTGATTGGTGTGACTGTCAGCATGACAAAGACGATATAACAAAGAGAAACAATTTCCAGAAAGCCACCAATGAATATCTGCAATTAAAAAGGACAATGGATGATATACAGCTGGT